CATGTGTATATATGTGCGTGTGTGTGCGTGTGTGTGTGTGTGTGTGTGTGTACAGCTATGTGCAACCAAATCTCTAATTCAGTGGTGTCAAATATATCTATATATTAAACTGAAATCTTTTTTTTAATGTCCATTCCCAACAAACATGGTAACACATACCATTAATCCCAGCAATCAGGAGGCAGAAGTAGGTGTACCTCTGTGAGTTCGAGACCAGCCTGATCTACAAAGGGAGTTCCAGGACAGCCGGAACTATTATACAGAGAAATTCTGTCTCAAAAAGCAAAAATAAATAAATGGATAAGTAAACGAATGAATGAATGAATGAATGAATGAATGAATGAATGAATATGGCCACTCCTAATTCTCAACGAAAACCAACTAAACATGATTCTCAAGAAAGGTTCTGAATACTAGCTTAGTGGTTTTTTTTTTTTTTCAAAAGTTCTGCAAATTATTTTGATTTAAAGCTAGCAATGAGAACCAACCACTTCTGTGAATGGATTTCAGTGGTGAAGCAAGAGGTAAATTCCCTGTTTTTGTAATAATAAAAACATTAGTAAGTCACAAAGTTCACAGCAGAAGAAATACAAGCCTATACTCACTGATTTTACCTCTGAATTGACTCTGTATCTGCCAAGCTTTCAACTGAAAAACCTCACACCTACATGATGCCTGCCAGGATTTCCCATGCAAAATATGTAAACTGTCAATGAGACGCACCCCCAAGTCAATGCTCCTGTCCTACACAGTACAGCAGGACTGCCTACAGGGGGTATGTATTGTTTTAATACAAACCAACTAATCTCTCCCAAATAAACAGTAAAACTCTTAAATGCTGAAAAGAAGAAAGAAAACCTAAGACACAAATGTCCCTCAGCTAGCAAGGATGACCGGGTCTGGAAACCATTTATTTCCCTGTGTAATCCCAAAGAAGCTAAAAGTGTTTCAGAACCAAGGTGACTGATTATTCATCTACACAGCAGTTACATACTTTCTGATTAGCATGAGACTTGGAATCTTCAGACAAAACCGCATTCTTTGCACGTTGCAGAGTGATATCTTCAAAATCAGTACATTTTGGCAGAACTGCAAGTCTTTCCTGAAGAACTTCTGTCTGGACTCTGTTTTGAGGGAGGGCAGAATCACAGCAGAATTCTTTCAACTTTTCCAGGGACTTTAAAACAATCCTTGGCCTCAGACATTTCTTTGCCTCTTGGGAAATATGAAGGAGAAAACACACCAATAGTATTTTGGCTTCACTATGTCACATCATAACCTGCATAGAATTTTTCAGAAGGGCATTCCCACTGGAACAGTGCACCTAGCTATAATGTGACAGAGAACACCATATTCAAAGTGAAGATGACCCATTTAAACATACATATAATTTCATTTGCTGATGAAATCCTTCACTTCAGTGAAGGAGGCTGGCAAGATGGCTCTGCAGGAATGATGCCACCAAGCTGCTGACCTACATTCTATGATGACCAGGAACAACAAGACAGAAGGAGAGAGCCGACTCCTTCGAGCTATTCTCTGACCTCGACACATATATGGCCCCCATACACAGATGTGCATACACACAATAAACAAATGAACAATAAAAGAATAAGCAGTACAATTTTAATTCTTAAAAACAGGACTCTAGTGGAGTTTTGCTTCTTGTTTCTTTGGGTATAATGACAGACAGGGCAGGAGTGATGACAGTTGCTACTGAGATATCTGAAGCAAGACAGAGAACTGATGTTAATTAGTCACTAATTCAGCACACAAGAGTCATACCCAATCCTTAGAAAAGCAAAAAGCCAATTCTATTAGCAACACAAAATGCTTGAGACTCAGAATGGGGGCACCATGGAGTCTGGAAAATTCTGAAATAAAAAGGACGGATTCAAAGTAAACTGAGCCTCCATGCTTCTCACCTTGCAAGCTCTGAGGGCCTTTCTCCCACTCAGCACAGACTAGGGGTTTCCCTGGAAAGGTAGAATATGCAGTAGTTCTGGTTATAAACTATCCCTGAAAACTGGGGGGAGCCAAAGCTGGCTGGATGCAGAAATAAAAGGAATGACTGTAAAGAAGTCAAAATGATAGACGCAGGAGGCAAGACAGTCATGAGCAGAGTTGGAGGTGTAGAGTATGAAGACGCTCTGCTCACCAGTACAGCTCAGAGCGAAACGTAAAAGACTTGAGATAGATAACAAGAAGGCTCACTGGGGACTAGAAGATAGGTTCCTGGGTAAGGATGCTTATCAACAAGTCTTACAACCTGAGTTCAAAGCCAAAACTCACACAACATAAGGACAGAAATAACTCCTGCAAATTGTCCTCTGACCTCTTCTACCTATGTACTATGACACATGCAGACACACACAAATAAGTATAATAAATAGATCATTAGCAAATATTTTATCTTTATAACCAAGATTTAAGACAGATAACGTGTGGCAGGAGAGACGACCCAGTGGTTAGTGCACATACTGCTCTTCCATCAGAGAACCTGAATTCAACTGCCAGCAACCACATCAGATGGCTTATAACCAACCACCTGGGACTCTGACTCCCAGAGGATTCCACGCCTGTGCCTCTGCAGGCATCTACACTCACAACACACACACACACAGGCACACACTTACACATACCACACTTAAACACACACATACATACACTCACACACACATACTTATACATGTACAAACATTCATACGCTTATACATACACACACTCAAACACACACACATTATTTGTTAAAAAATACTGCAATAGTGAACAAAAGAGAAAGTTGGAAAAACTACAGCCAAATTAGAGAACTGAGCTCCTCTGTGGCCTTAGCTTCCCAAACACCAGCTAAGGCACAGCAGAGACCCTTCTCCACACAGGAAAACACAGCTCAGTGCTCCCATGGTCTCCCTTGCCTTCTGGGGAACCCAAGCAACTGAGAAGACTTATTCTCTAGCACTTACCAGGGTTGTCAGATGGTACTGAGGTATTTTCTCCTTCCTTCTCTGGAACTTTCTTTGCTTTCTTCTTAGTGGGCCCACCATTTCCCAGTGACCTCTTCCTGCCGTCACCTTCTGTCACCTGTATCAAGAAGGTTGGAAACGGTGTGTTAACACTATTCTAAGGCTTGAAGTCTCTGGAGTCATTTAACCTTGCTTCAGAGTGACAGTAAGTTCCTTCCTTCCATTCTTCTTAGAGTGATCTACTTTTTACTCTGCAAAGGTTTTGGGGTGACTATTTTTGCCATCAGAGACAGAAACTGGCAGGTACAGTTTCTCATTACCTCACATCCTGCTGAAATTATGTGGCATTCTCCACCTTTCCTTCTTATATATGTTAAATAAAATACCTCTACAAGATCAACAAAAAAATCTATTTTCAAAATGCAAAATTATGGGAGAAAAAGGAGATAATAAACAAGCAATGTATTTCCAGTTTCAAAGCTTCTATCCACTATTAAAAGATGTCCTGGAACAATCTGTCGGCAGGTAATCTAAGAAAAACTTAACACTTTTGCCTAGTATTCTCTCAGTGGCCAGTGCAAAATAAATCTTAGTGAATTTACGAAAATGTAAATGAACCTCAAAAAGAGAAAGTAGAGCATCAATCAGTACAGGAAAGAAATATAAATGAAAGGGGTAAAGATCTTAATCTGCTTTGCACCTGCATTAAAATACAGTAGATACCTAAAGCCAGTTATAATCATCTTCAATCTGGGAAATGACGGAGGCCTTACGCACCCTGAACAAGTGTGACACATTGACAGCCAGTGTGGGAAACATAACAGGGAACCCTAAGGACCTGGCTCACTCTTGGACCTGTATTTGTGGCAATATCACTATGGGGTTTTGTTTTTGTTTTACTTCGCTTTGCCTAGAACTTTTTGAAGGGCTGCAAGCACCAGGAAACAACCAACGGGAAGTATCTACAGACACTCCATCCATCCAAATGCTTCCACTGAGAATCTGTATAGTTGAACAATATTCTGGCATGGCGATCTGACACATAGAGCAATGTTTTTGAATTCTGAAAAACTAGCCTTAAAGACAGCTTTTTTCGAGTTAGTCAAGCAAGCATATGTAAATAAAGCTCCTCTTCTCAACCCTCAATACAGTAAAGAAAACGTAAAGGAAAGAATGAAGAACGGTGGTTAACAAACGCATCCACCAGAATAGAAGTTTCCGCCTCGGGTTCCGGCTAACGACTGGAAGCACTAAGACCTCAAATCTATTACTTCTTTTTTTTTTTTTTTTTTTTGGTTTTTCGAGACAGGGTTTCCCTGTATAGCCCTGGCTGTCCTGGAACTCACTGTGTAGACCAGGCTGGTCTTGAACTCAGAAATCCGCCTGCCTCTGCCTCCACAGTGCTGGGATTAAAGGCGTGCGCCAGCACCGCCCGGCAAATCTATTACTTCTAATCAGGTAATAAAGCCTTCCAACTAAAAGAAGAGCTAGCAGAAGCCGCCACCTCTCCTTCTCTGGCTCCGCCCCTTCTTAGTCCTACCCACCGTTAATAGGCTCTCCGCACGACCTCCGCTTCCGGCCACGACGCCTACGCGACCGCCACCCTGACCCCGCCCCTAATCGGCTGGCCCCGCCCCGCCACCTGGCTCCGCCCCGTCACGGACAGACCCCGCCCCGGGCGGCCTTCGCCTCGGTGGACGCTGGGGGCGCTGCGGAGCTGTCCTCTACCTTCTCTGCTGGCTCGGTGGAGGACACGCTGGATCTTAGGCTTCCCTCAGACCTGAAGAACCGGCTCAGAACCGCTTGTCTCCCCGAGCCCGGGCCAGCGGCAGTAGAGCCTCTCGATGCGATTTTCCTGCGGGGCATTGCAGTGTGCAGAAGAGCCGGCCTGCTGGTTGCGCAAGCGCGTGGCCGTACTTCCTCGCGCTTGCGCGCGCGCACGCCGCAAGCTGCGCGGGGCGCGGCCTGGTGGGGGTGGGCCTTGGTGGGGGCGGGGCTTTGGCTGCACAAATAGGATGCGCGGCAGGCTTTGGTGGGGCGGGGCCTTAGCTGCGCTGCTGTACACAGCTGCGATTTCGCGCCAAACTTGACCGCACTCCTAGCGTGAGGGCTAGTAGGGTCTCTTCGCCACGGCAAACATGGTTCGCCCGCTGAACTGCATCGTCGCCGTGTCCCAGAATATGGGCATTGGCAAGAACGGAGACCTGCCCTGGCCTCTGCTCAGGTACTGGCCGGGCTGGTCTCGGGAAACCAAGGCGGTTCACTGAGTAGGGTTGGGCACTTGGCTTGGAACGCAGACCGACCTACTCCGGGACGGACGGACGTGAGCGGGTAGACCTTGCCGGCCTCAGCAAGAGGCCAAGGTACCGGGGTGATCCCCCTGCCGCGCCAGCCTTTGCTCACAGGCTCCCTAGCCGGGAGCAAAGTCCGGTCGCTGGGCAGGCAGCAGCACCACCCCCCACACCGGGGCTTGCGTCTTTCGTCGCTGACTGGCTGGAGCCTGAGCAGACTTGACATGGATTAACGCAGTGTTTCTGTAACTTTCAGGAATGAGTTCAAGTACTTCCAAAGAATGACCACAACCTCTTCGGTGGAAGGTAATGTAGGGTTATTAAATCATGAGGATTATAGTGTTTGCTTAAAGCAAGATTTACAATGTAGATGTATGAGTAGGAAGTCGCCCCTGGGAATCTGGGATCTTTGTTTCTTGCTAGAAATTTTTGAGCTATTCCCAAAGTTTATTAAACATCCTCTTAAAATTGAAATTTTGTTAGCAAGTGTATATAACTCGAATATGACTGGGCAGAATCGGCAACAAAATGTAGCGCTGTAAATAGAGACCTGAGCGAGTATTTAGAATTGTTACTGGGCCGGGCGGTGGTGGCGCACGCCTTTAATCCCAGCACTTGGGTGGCAGAGGCAGGCGGATTTCTGAGTTTGAGAGTTCGAGGCTAGCCTGGTCTACAGAGTGAGTTCCAGGACAGCCAGAGAAACCCTGTCTCGAAAAAACCAAACCCAAAGAACAAAAAAATAGAATTGTTACTGGAAGACAGAAGACTTGAGTAAATGGAGAAAAAAGCAGGGAAGAAGAGGCTGAAAAAATTTAAATCTGTTGGATTTCAGGAAGCAGAAAGGCATGGTGGGATGAAGGCTATGGTCTTCAGTGAGGCAGTCTGGGTGACTGACTTGAAATAAAAGAATGGGGAGTGATGTGTAATAATTATAAGGCAGTTTCCAGTTAATTGTAACTGTAAGGAAATTTCAGTGTAATTTCTCCCTGACATGTTTGCTTACCATCGTAGGAGAGCCGATGGGAAAAAGAAATCAGCAGTGCAGATGTTGAATAGCATTAATAGAAAACATAGTAGGTCACTGGTAGACAAATTGGCAAATACCATCTTAACAAAGTCTACTCTCAAGAATCTTAAATATCAGGCCTCAGGAAGTGGCTCAGTTGGGAAAGGTCTAAGGACCAGAGTTCAAATCCTGCAACCCCAATAAAAAGCTAGACACAGTGGCCCATTTATAATTCCAGCATTAGAGAGGCAGAGACAGAAAGATCCCTGGGGCTTGCTCTGTAGCCAGATTTGTGGGCTCCAGGTTCAATGAGAAGCCTTGTCTCAAGAAGAGAAGGTAAAGAAACCCAATTGCACTGCCTGACCTGATGTGCATATGGGTACACAATACACACAAGATGAGAAGTGATTTATTTTCATTTTTGATGTCTGTTTTGAGAGTGCCTATACACCTATATGTATAAAATATGTGTGCCTGGTCCCCGCAGAGCCCTGAGGAGGGTGTGAGTTCCCTGGAACTGGAGCTAAAGGCAGTTGGGAGCCTCTGGATGTGGGTGTGGAGAACAAACCCAGGTCTTCTACTGTGCCTTTAACAGCTAAACAATCTCTCAATCCATCACAAGTCATGTTTTTAAAGAACTCTAGACATAGTATGGTAATTGTCGTTTGATCCAGATGTCTGAAATTCAAGGTTTTCTTCCAAGTAATTAAATAAAAGATGGAAGCCATATATACAGTTTTCAGTACTTTTTAGATGTGTTTTTATTCTTTGAAAGTTTTATATTTTTATCCAGTGTATGTTGATTATATCCATTTACCTTTTCACTCCTCCTGTGCCCCTTTTCCTTTCCTAATTCATGTTCTCCTTGTTATTAATAACCCTGTGTGTGGCCATTGACGAGGGCATGAACAATCTACAATCAGCCAGACCCAAAAAATGGATTCTGCCTCTCTCAGCAGCCATCAACTACCAATAGCTATCCAAGATGGGTGGGGCCTCAGGAACCCCTCCTCCTGGCTTGATCTTGTGCAGGGACCAGATGTGAACTGACACATACATACTTTAGCCTTGTCATGGCTGAAAGTCAGCCTTTCACAGTTCCCTTCCCCTTCTACCAACTTTAGGTCTTTCTGCCCCATCCACAAAGGCCCCTGACCTTTGACTATAGATAGAGATGACTTTGAATATTTATATGGATAGGCATTATTTCTCTAGAATAGATGAGTCAGACAAAAGTAGTTTTAGATGGTGAGCACATTTAATCTCAAGAATTCCAAGAATAGAAACTATTCTTTTCTCCATTTTAGAGTTTAATAAAAGTTATCTAGTGAATCATAAAATCCAATCAACCCGAGCACTTTGAGCAGAAATTATGCATGGTTGCAGTTGATTAAAACCTAAGTAAAAGATATAAATTGGATGAGCCAGACAGAAAAATTATACTATATGTAGTTAATGAGAACTAAGTCTGAATTTTAGGTAAAGCTGTTTTTCTTAATTTTTCTAAAGGATATCCACTAGATGTCACTATAACAATCATCTTGCCTATGTATGTCACTGAAATACATGTGTTTTCTGATATCCTTTCTGCTTGGTTTTATAGGTAAACAGAATCTGGTGATTATGGGTAGGAAAACCTGGTTTTCCATTCCTGAGAAGAATCGACCTTTAAAGGACAGAATTAATATAGTTCTCAGTAGAGAACTCAAGTAAGTGCTACAGTGGGAGCTCAGCACAAGAAAAGCGATCTGTTTGCCAGAGCACAGATTAGTACACAACAGATGAGACAGTATGAAAGTAAGGTGATGAACATCTGTGTGTCTGTTTGCATGTGTGTGTATGTGGGCAGGTACACATGTGTCCATCCATGTGTACCAACCTGGACATTGCCCTTCTACCTCCTTCCTGCGGGTCTTTCCACAAGTGCATACCACCAAGCCAAGGTTTTGGTTTTTTTGTTTTTTTTTTTGTTTTTTTTTTTGTTTTTTGGACCAGAGGCTGGGGATCAAATTTGAGTCCTCATACTTGGACAGTGTTATCCCCTGGGTGCCTTATAAATGACTCACTATCCAAACCAGTTGGTACCATCAGAACTCAACCCAACACCCTAGCCTAGAGCCTTATCTACAGCTTAAACTACTGAGCCACACTACCTAAGTGAATATCTTAATATACAAAGAGACAACAGAAACTGAGTGGGCACTTACACTATGGGGCAACTTGATTCTGTTCCTTTAATTGGTTGATTTGATCACCTTAAGAATTAGAAAAAAATATGGTAACAGTTTTGCAAGTTACTTTAAACCATTCTATAGGCCTAGCTATCAGTTACACTATGATTTATAACTGGTTTCTAGTTTCACAAAAGCTAAAAATGCCTGTGTTTTGAGTTTCAGTGAATTTAAGTGGCTATCCCATTATTGGAATCAACTCTGAATACAATAAAATATGAAGGACATGCAGTAGCTGGTCATGGTCATGTACTCTATTATTTCTGGTTAGCCACAGTACCTGGATACTTTGTGTTCTTTATACAGTGTCAGAGGTGAAATATTTCAGAGTATTGAAGTGGTCCAGGAATCTTCAGGAGAAAAGATGTCTGCAGTTGGCTTCTGCCAAGACAACTCATATCATCAAAATTAACATTTGAATAGATAATTCCTTCTTTGTGACTGGAAATGTCTTAAGAACCTGGGGTGGTTGGGCTGGAGAAATAGCTTAGCAGTTAAGAACACTGGCTGTTCTTCTAGAGGATCTGAGTTTGATTCCCAACACCCATGTGGCAGCTCACAACTGGCTGTAACTCCAGTCCTAGGGGAGTCAGTGCCTTCTTCTGGCTTCCAAGACACCATGCTTTCATGCACGTGTTACACAGACACTCATATAGGCAAAGACTTACACATAAAATTAACAAAATTCATTGTTTTTATAAAGGACTAGAGGTGGTAGGGTAGGTGAATAAGATTAGCTAAAAGTTAAATCTGGTAGTTTGACCTTGACCATGACTTTGATATTGTTGCTACTAGTCTTTATTTACTAAAATAACTTCCTAGATCTTTTTTGGTTTTTCGAGACAGGGTTTCTCTGTGTATCCCTGGCTGTCCTGGAACTCACTCTGTAGACCAGGCTAGCCTCGAACTCTCGAACTCAGAAATCCGCCTGCCTCTGCCTCCCAAGTGCTGGGATTAAAGGCGTGCGCCACCGCCACCCAGCAACTTCCTAGATCTTAAAGGAGTTTTTTGTTTGGATTTTTTGGTCAGCAGATGACAACAATCTAAGGGAAAGTTTAGGATTCAGGATATTGATTATTCTTCCTTAAATTATTACGTAGTCACCAGCAACAATGCAGCATCTTAGAGTACCAGGCACTGCTTGTTTGAACTGCAGTCAAGAATGTCATTCCCATGGATTTTATTCAAGGCCCATACAAAGAAGCAGGTGCAGTAGAAGCTACAGTTGTGTAAGAGCTTCAGTGTAGAGGATCTGGTTTCACTGAGGTGAGCTACAGTCACATGAACCCAAAACTTTGCAGTACAAACATCAAGGAGAGCAAGCTGGAACTTTCCAGTGGGTGCTCTGGTCGCTCTGGGAAGTCTCAGCTCTACCCTTAAGGCCTTTTGGTGATTTGAACTGAAATCATCATAAATGTCATCACATCTACAAGACACAAGCATCTGAGTGAAGAGAAGTTAGAACAGCCCTAGGAGGAAGAGAAAACACTTCCCATAGCTTTATGCTAAAAGATTCCTATGTGGGGTCCCTCCCACACGCCTCCTACAGTGGCATAGGTTAAAACTTAGAAGAGAATACACAAACATTTGCATTGGTTGCCTCTGCTGATGGGGAATATGTGATGTGCCTCTCACCATCTGCCTCCATCTTCGTGCTGCTCCCTGTCTTGGTTGCTAGGATATTCTGATGATCACTCTCCTTGAAAACAGTCCGCATTCACAGGCTATAGTGCTATTCCCAAGAGCTTTTTAATAACATATTCTTGAATAGTACTCAAATTTATTTATGGCCAACTTGAGCTAAAATAAATATAAAGAAATCTCAGTGGGGGAGATGTTCGATTGAACCAGCATTTCTGCTCAAATGATGAGTCTAATTTCTTCTTTATGAGCCCCCTATGGTATATGTAATTGGATTTTGTTGCTTTCTGTGTATTTATATATAATGTTGAGTAGAGTGCTTTAGTTTTTGGGTTTTGTTTTTAGTTTTTAGTTTCGAATATGCTGGAGAAGTTGGAATATCATTTAGACAAAGGTTTTATTAGGGTTCATTGTTTCCTTCAGTCTCTGGATTGTCACTTAGCCTATGTTCAGAGCTGTGTCCAGGCACTTCTAGGTCCTATAGCGCAGGACCAGCATTACACATGCCAATCACTATTGCTTATGCAGGTTTTTACTAAAACTTGGTTTTTAGCCTCTAACCCCATATAGAAAAATTCTGAATCCTCAAGGTAACCCCCAAAGTCACTAAGGTATGGAGAGGAAACAATGCCTGTAAAACTTTCCAGGCGGTCAAGTTGTAACTTTAATAGAACTGATGTGGGGTTAACAAGGCCCACTCACAGGGGTGAGACAGTGGTAATAGTCACATGACTCTGAGCACACCAGAAGTCACCTCTGTAACTCTAGAAGCATACATTGATTTACTTAGTAGGAGAGGACATAGTGACACACACACATAATCCTGTCACTTAAAAGGCTTTGCTGTGAAGTTCTTGAGATTGATGTCATACTCGTCTATAGTGAAACAGTCTCAAAAAATGTGTGTGTGTGTGTGTGTGTGTGTGTGTGTGTGTGTGTGTGTGTGTGT